AAGCCGCTCATTGAGCGCCTGTGTGGAATCTAGCAGCTCACCTTTCCAACAAACTGCACACCTGGGCCACTTGAAGTAGGACCCATCAAGCCACCTGTACACATTGGCCGTGCGCCTCCCGCACCTTGTTTTGCAAGCCATCTGCACCCCTTGAGGGCGATGTAACATTTTCGACTTGATGTGTTGCCAGCATGGCTCCTTGATCTCGTACGACTGGCACACTCCACTCGCTGTGATGGTCTGCTCCTCCGTCTCGCTGGCTTCGGAAGAACAAGAGCTCGACGAAGAATCCGACGAATCGGACCCATAGCTCTCCACATCCGTGTCTCGAACACCAGCCCCAAACAATTCAGGAAAAAGCATTTCGCTCCCAGATCCAGGATCCTGCTCTCCCACAGTGTTCGTCGGCTGCTCCACACGATGCCAGGAGCCCTCGTCACGATCGCACTCACTTGCCTGCGAGGCTTCGAGCAGATCTGAAGGCACATTATTCGTGTGATAATGTTCAAGTTCACCCGGCACTTCTGGGTGTCCCACTTCGCTTGGCTCATGCTGTGGCCGGACACCTATGCCAAAGGCGCCACCCGAACTCCCAAGATGAACGCTTGCAAATTCCCCGATCGTGGGTAGCAGAGGCTCCTTTGCAAGCCATCCTGACCGGGTCTTGTCTGGCCTGAAGACATTTGTCCTGATTTCCTCAAGCATTGCCCTGTATGCGCGTAGGGGCGCGCTCAAGAGCTCTCGGCTATAGCATGCCAGCGAGCCTGAACCTGGAGCATGGTGACCGAGAAGTAAGCCGTCTCGCTCTCCGAAGCCACGCTTGCCAACCCAAGCCAAAGTTGTACCCTTCAAGACATGCGACGTGCGCCGCTGCTCGCCATCCAGATCCAAAGCATTGCACAACATGTGACCGGCTTCGCCCGAAGTGCACCGTCTCTTGCACAGCTGCCCTTCGGCATTTGGTGCACGGATCAAAGGTCCAAAGGGATCTTCGTCCCACCGCACACCCAGCCTAAGCCCAGCACTCCACCAGGCTCGCACCCAATTGGCATCAGTAACTCCAGGGAACGGAGCTACCAGAGGCATCGCCCGCCTCTTTGTCTTCGAAGTGTTGCTTGTCTTGTGATCACGTGTCCTGGCTTCTACAAAGCCAGACAACTGGTCCTCGCCCTCGAAGTCAACCCATATGCACTGCAGATTTCTAAGATCGGACCACCTCGATCGGCTGTACAGGCAGAAGACAAGCCCGCCCAGCACGTAAGTGTCTGCATCGCACAGAGTGAGGCTGGCTACAAGCTTCTCCAGTTTGGCAACACACTCCACACTGAGGGGAACCTGCTGCCTCACCTCTGCCCGGTCGCCCTCGAGTCTCTTGGCACGGCCCTGCAACCTGCGGTCCTCAAGGATCTCTTTGCAAAAGGGCATGCCCATGACATGATGTGCGAAGTTCATGGCTTCGAAGAGACTTGTCACTGCACTTGCCGATGTACCAAGAGACTTGACGAAGTCGGTAAATGAGTCGCAGTCCCAAGGCCATGCAGTCTGCTTTTCTCTAAGATGCCACCTCAGACACCTAAGCAAGGAGTTGGCCCGCTTAATGGCAGTCCTAGGGGATTTAATGCCAAAGACATCCCGGATCAACTCATCCCTGGCCGACTCACCCTCTGCAATCAAGCACTGAGCAGCTTGCTCACCAACCTGTCCAGGATCGCTCTGCGCCAAGCTAAAGATGCAACACCACTTATTGATCGCTAAGACCCAAAGGTGATCTTCCTCAGCTTGAGTAGAAACATCAGCCCGAGCAGAAAAGGACTTCTCGAACAACGTGCACGGGGCAGGCCTGACACGAATGCACGGCCCTTCTTCGGGGGCCGGGGCAGCAGAGTCCTCTATTGCAGGAGGGCAGGGCTGTCGCACAACAGGCTGCTCCAAGACACCATTGCCAAAAATGCACGACATAATCCCAGACTCCCACGGCAGTCTGGGCAAAGTATCCACAATGCCACTGGTGCGTGCATGCAAAATCAAGCGGTCGATGTCTGCGTCATCAACAACACTGTCCTGTGACATGATGAGAGGCTAAGCAAACACACCCCCTTGGAAGCTAGCCAAAAAGAAGGATCAGTCAGAAATGAAGCGTTGGCAGGCCTGTTGGGCCCTTTGCATCCACTGCTCGATCCAAGCAAAACGCACGTCGGATTGCCTGTGGGACTCCTGCAATTGCCGAACCTGGTCCTGCACAATCACTAGCTGGGCACTCAAGGCGTTGATTTCTAACTGAAGGTCCCAGACGTGTTGAGAAAGCACCTCGTAGCTGCTTGTGCTGGAGGCAGCACTAGAAGCGGAATCCGCTTCTTCCATCTGCCGCCCTCCCAGTGGAGGGGGCGTGCACGGACTAAAAACGTCGAAGGAGTCCTGTTAAGGAGCTATGCGGCCTCCAGGCTCGATCAAAAATTGTTCTCACGGCTGCACACAGCCCAAATGCTACAGAGAACAAGGAATCGCATGAGCAAACACATGCCGAACAAAGTGGTGCAATCACTCAAACCTGCAATTCGAAATCGCACAAGGTAAAAACCGCAGCACTGCAAATCAGAAATTCGTTTGGGAAATAAAATGCTGTCTCGCAAGCGAGAAGGCTTATTTATTTTATTATTTTTTACGTACACTTTCACAGCGAGGTAAAACAGGAAGCGTGGGCGCAGCGACCGACCAACAAACAACTTTTCCCTACTACTGCCGTTCACGGCTCACCTAAGATTCTCTAAAACTCACAAAGGAGAAAACAGAAAGTGTTCCTGCTCTTGGCGAGACACGGAGGCATCCCCCCAGGTTTGAAAATCACTCTGGCAGCGCTTGTGATGGGCAGAATGTCTCGTGCAATTTTTTTGGCGTGAGTGGGCCTCGTCGGCTACGGCTGTAGCACTCGGTCCCTACAAACAAACAAAAACGAACAAGCAACAAAGACAGCGGTGAAACATAGAGGGACAGACGGCGCAAGCCGTTCAATCGACATCTCAGCGACCGGATGGAAACCACAAGAGGCCGTCACCCCAAGGTTACAAGTGGAGCTCCAATCCCAAGAACTCCGACTGCCGTTCTCGTCCCGTCCGACAACGGACAGTCCCCGTAACCTTGTTACCAAACGATCGTGCACACGAAAGTCCAGAAGTCCAAAGAATGGCAATCGAGCACAATAGCGTGATGTGGCCAAAAGTCGATGCAACCAACATCACCTCCAGCCGACAAACATCAAACACGTCACAACGCAATTCCAACGACAACATGTCGTCTGAATCCACGCAATTGGAATCTACTCATCAAGACCCACCGGTAACGACCCAACAGTGGCAGGCTTACTGTGTCCGTTCCGAGGAGCTCTGGGTGGCCAAGAATCAATCAGTGCTGGAATTCAGCCGGCCGCTCAATCAATGCTAATTTTCACTCAAACACAAGCGCCTGCGGAGTACACAAGTCAGCACATTGGGCTCAAATGAATTACGGAGCTCGCACAAATAAAACAAGTACTCAAGTAAATACCGGCCAGGAAAACAAATTTATTTGGTTATGTTTTCAATCCAAGCGCACAAACAGAGCATGAAGCACATGGACATGACTGCATCACAACTGCACTCACGGACAGAAACACTCGCACTGCACTGTTTCTTTTTAGAGCGAGGGGTGCAGACTGGTAACGATTCCGGCTCCACATTCGTGGCCGATGTTCAGAAAATGGCAAAGCTGAGAGTATCCTGCATCGAGATTTCCGGCACGTTCCCGCAAGTGAAAACATCCTGCAAGTGAAAGGCAGATGATGCCACTCCCCACACCAGAAGGGCGGGTGGGCGGGACAAAAATTTTCTCACGCCTGCAAGCAAAACTGCGAGTACCAAGACAAGCATGGTAAGGCAATCGTGAGAAAATCAAAAGTCATGCGACATACTCCAGCAAGGCATGAAAGAAAAAGTGCGCATGAAAAATTGTAAACAATTTTTCCAAACATGAAAACAATCAAATAAGAAAACATCCCCCTTCGGGAGAGTTTGTTCGGAAAATACGTGTACATGCAGTACGAGTACAAGGCGTGCAAAGTTTTGCACCCCGCCTAAAGCATGCCGAAGTCCAACTAAGGCTACTGCTTTCAAACACAACTTTGCGACTTCAAAAGCCACACTGTACGAGAGCTCTAAGCTGCTACACTAGGGCCGGTATGACAAAGAAACAAAAGGAGTACAACTAGTTTCAGTACAGCTCCGGACTGGGTTTCACTCGCGTGCACAAGCTCTGCCGAAGCGGTCGTTGGCTTGACCTACCGCTACCTACCGTCTTTGACACTAGAGACTACGAACGCATTTGCGCTGTCTGCCTACGGAAGTCGATGAAAGATGCAAGGCATCCCACACCAACTGTTGATCCGAATTCTTGACTCGGGCAAGCGGACCCGGCACAAGAGGTAAGAAGAGCAGAAGCTTCACACAAGTGATGCAAAGTAAGCTGACTCGAAGCAAGGCGCTGAGAGAGGCTGACGATTCATGCGGGATCATGCAAGCACAATTTGATAATCAAGAAAGTGTTTGCCCTGTACGCAAAACAGCCGAAGGAAGCCTACAACCAACGACTAAAAGTATTAGAACCTCCTAATTAAGGTCCAGCAGTGGCGGAATGCATCATCGCCATCACACGTGTCAGCAATGCACTCAAAGTGCACACATTCTCGGGTTTGCCAAAATGGCATGCGTCACAAGTATTGATGGTGCAAAATGCACCATATGCACATTCAAGAAAGCCATACAAGTATATGCTCAAGATCATCGGCACCTGAAGTTAACAGAAGGGTCCAGGACCCAGCAACATGAGCATCCAAGCTATAATACAGGTGGATATATACAAGATGCCCCATGGTATCAACACGCCGAGTGTTGACACCAAGAAAGCATCGCATCAAGAGCATTTCAAGTGGCCATCAAGAGAGGCTTTGCACATACATCATGCACCGTCACTCAAGGATTGCATTTCTTGCATGCACGGAGTCCGCGGTTCTGTGCTTCGTGGCGCTCGTACGCCTTCACACGATCGCACCCATCAAGCTTAAAGCACCGGAGACGATGATAGCAGCGGCCCGTGTGCGACACCCACACGAGGCTCCCACGGTGGTTCATCCTCCGTGCCACGGCGATAGGGTACCCGTGCAGCTCGCGGAACGACTGCGTCGAAAGCTGCGAACTCATTGACTCTGCTGGTGTTCCAGGTGCTGATGCATGGTCAGCAGGATGCACATGAGCCTGCACTGCATTCATCGCACCAGTGGGCGGTGCTGCTGACGAACTCGCGTCGGGATGAGGAGCATCCTCATCTTCGCACCTCGGACCTGGTCTGGTAGAAGCTTTGGACCTTGCACCTTTGCGTAGCGCGGACAAAACATGTGGAGGGCTATCATCACCATCAAAGTCGAAAGACAGAGGATTCGTAGGAGTCCCAGGCGCACCAACTCCAACATGCAAATTGAGCTGGCGATCAAACTGAAAAGAGACATGATCACGAGGGCCAGCGATCTGCACATTGACCTGGCCGCGATCAGATACCCTGCAGCACAAAGTGCGGATGCACAACACAAGCATCAGCATTGTCACGCACGCAAGGACCAAAGCATGGGGCTGCACAAGCATGTCGATGACAGACACGCCGGTGTCATCGCGGACCCACAGTCCCAAGAACCACACAAGGACCCGGTTAGCCCAGTCAGGAAGATCAGCTCCTGAGTCATCCAAGCCGTTGTCACCGTCAGCATCATCCGCAGCACGACTCAAGGCGCTCACAACAGCGATGACAATGGCCTGAATCATAGGCTTGCTCACGGACGCACTCGATGTGGAGCGGACGGCACGCACAGCGTCCTTCATTGCTTGCTTGTAGCGTAGATCAGCAATCTCATCTTCTCCAACAAAGCACTCATGCACAGTATGCCAGCAACCGATGATGTGCAAAAGCATGAGCATGCGGCTCCGAGAAAGGCCTTTGGTGTTCAGGTCGGCCACATTGATCGACGTTGCAACTTTGCGAAGCATGATGATCTTATCCGCAACAAGCTGCTGAGTCCACAAGACTCGGACGCTCAAGTGCCTAACGCGGCCGACGCCGCTTCGCTCCATGATGCCTTTGGCAGCGCTGGCGTCCAGGAAGTGATGAATCTGGGGTGGCTCATCGTCGGCAATGAAAGCGAGCAGCTGCCGAACAAACAAAGCGTCACAAAGCGTAGACGTCGCCGCAAGCAATTCCGATTCCCCTGAGCTCAAAGCAATCACCCTTTGTGTACGGCTAGAGCTGTACAAAAGGCAACCTGCTACGAACACCATCCCTGAGCTAACCGATTTGCGAGAGCCGCGATGCGCCGCCCAGTTGGCGTCCGAAAAAGCTTCTAAGCACAGGATCGGCTGGCTCGGTCTCGGAATCTCGCCGGAAACTCCGTTGTAACAGTTTCTGCGATCAAGCAAGAGACCATGGTGTTGGCCTTCAAGAAGATACTTCAACAGATGCCTCAAAGCAGCCTGCGCATTGCGTGTTGGCGAAGTCATGTAGCTGCTCAACGCACGGATGGCACCCTGACACTCGATCAAATCCACTGCCAAGTACAAAAGAATGCCAATGGCACAGCGGAAAGCCTTTGCATCTGCACACGCGAGAAGCTCGCTGTTGTCTACTTCATCAAGCTGCGGCGCATGAGGAGTCTTCTTCGGAGCACTCCGTTCATCGATTTTCATCACAGAAAACAACTTTTCAAAATGCTTGGCCGAGGGTGTTAGCAGCATTTTACCGCCAGCAAGAAGTGTGTGATGCCGCTTCAAGAACGAAATCGTGTCCCCCGGAGCCTCAAGGATGCGGATGCTTACACGATACTTTGATTCAAGCGTGGGCCGGAGGCGCTCAAGAAGAAAGCGCTTGCTGCCTGCACCCAACAAGTCATCGACATGCATCTGCATACTGAACTTGGAAGCTGGCTCGCGGATCAACGAGGGCAGAGCATCACACTTCTTAAAACCCAAGGCTTCATCAAGAAAACTGGAAAATGCCAAGTACCACTCCTTGGATCCGTCCCGCTGTCCGGGCAGGACTCGTCCCAGCACGTAGCGGACACCTGCATGCTGCACAATGACCAGGCGGGTCTGCTTGACGCTAAGGTAAGCGTCACTGATGTCGAGGGCGACCATGACCCAAGGATCATCAGGGTCAGGCTCGTGACACAGGTAGTGGATCGGCAGCAAGCGGTTCGAAAGTGCTGTGGAGGCGGGCGAAAAGAGGTCATGACGCTCATTGAGCCACGCATACTCTCGGGCCACGTACCGGCTGCGTCGGTACCAAACTGGGGAGCCACCAAGCTCCTTCTCACGCCACGTGCGCACCATGCGCGTGGTGAGGTGAGTGGCCTCTTGACCAGCGTACTCATCGTTATGAGCTGCTGACTCAGGAAGCAGCACAGTCATGCCTTCTAGCCTAGCAATCTCAACTCCATCAGCAATCACATCCAAAGCTTCGAGCTCCTCCGGAGAGAGCTCTGGCTCAATGTCTGAAGTGCGAGGCCGACACAGCTCAGGCAGCAACTCAGTGTCACCAGACTGATCCTCAAGAAAACTTTGGTCGTAATCCTCGAGCTCATCAAGCGTGTCACCATCAAACGTCAAAGTGACATTTTCATCCTCATGCTCATAACACACTTGCCTGATGTGCACAACGCAGGGAGACTCCTCTCCAGAGGTTACAAGCAAATCTCCAGCCGGCACTTCATCCGCACAGCAGCCAGGGGCGGTAATCAAAGAAATCTGCCCTTCAAGAGCCATCACTTGGTCATCATCAGACCTGCGGGCGACCTTGGCTGGTCGAGGATTCTCACTGAGGCCCAGAGCCTCAGAAATCAGAGGAGCGGATGAGGCAACTGCCCCCGCCTCGGCAGGAATTGCGGGCATCCCCGCCTCGGCTGAGCTGGGTTCACCTGCGTCAGTGAACAACACATCACCGTGACGATCAGAAAGAGCAGCATCCTCCGTGGCACTCATGCCATCAGAAGGGCTATAGTTGATGGATGTTGGAGACCGCACTGGCGAGTCGGTGCCTGCAATCTGTGAAGGAGAGCCTCGAGCCTCGTGAGGAAGAGGCGATTCTGCAGCGGCTGGTGGTGAAGGAGGAGGGCCAACGTAGGCTGGGATAGGCATTGCAACAGGAGCGGCTGGCTTCTTGTGCCCAAGTACAAGTTTCCCCCCTATGGACGAGAGCCCGTGCTCGAAAACACTCACATCAAAGCTGGCTGCAAAGTCCGGATCGAAATTGTCTTCAAACCTTCGCACTGAGCGCGTCACGAAGACGCCACCGACCAAACCCAAAATGTGGGTGTCATTGCCTATAGCTTTTCCAAGCCAGAGGCCGTGGCGCCAGCGCGCCGAGGATTTGCCGTCAGGTTTGAGGTATCCCAGGACCTTTTCTCCAAAGCGACAGATGGTGCCGCTGTACGCCGAATCAGTCACAGCCTCGTACGGAGTAGTGCCATGCACAGGCGTGTAACGGTTGCGAAGCCAGCAGGCATGGGCAAGGGCCCATCCGTAGATCGGATGCAGCGGTGGAAACAACACTTGATCGTCCTTGGCTCCACAAGCTTGCTCGAGATCATGCATAGCACAGCTGCATGTTGCCTGATGCTCCCAACGACCTGCTCAACCGGACCATTGCTCTGGTGAGACTCCACAGGAGCGGTGTCCTTGGACACGTCGACACCAAGATTCCGAAGGGCCTTCAAGAGACCGGCTTGCACCGCAAGGATAGCGGGTTCATTATCACATCGGAGTCGGAGGGACCGGTGACCCAACCATATCGCAAACCTCGCGGATTCTGTAACCAAGTGACTGAGGCTGCTGCCGCCCTTCTGAGCCGTAGGAATGGCATGCACGGCTTTGGTGTGACGATCATGAAGAAACAAGACTGTCAGGCGGTCCTTGGCTTCTCGAACACCGTCATCGGCTTCCCTCGAGCAGTATCCAAAGTCAAAAGACAAGACAGACCGAGATCCAGGATCATGCGAAGCCTCAGACGGGCGGCGATCCTGTCTTCCGCGAAACTTGACACAAGCATCGCACCAGGGCTGGTACGGTTCATGTGTCAGCACATGTTGTGCACGATCGTGGTCCGAAGGAGCTGCAGGAACTGGTGGTGCATGTGGTGGCCGACTCAGCTCGGCGCTCAAGTTGTGATGGACCTGATGCTCACGCAAAAGATCGGACTCACGCAGATGGCGCACCAAACGCTCCCAACACTGGCTCTTAGACCCATTCTTACCCAAGCCAAGGCTGACAAGGGCAGCACGCATGACCCGAAGCGAAGAGTTGCGGTCAATCACAACACCGTTCACAGTGACGCTGTCAATGACTTCGCGTTCAGATGGAGCCGCCTCTCCACCTCCATCAGCCGCAGGAGCGACTGGAGCCGCTTGATCAGCACTCGGAGGGAGATCGCTATCACCTTCAAGTCCGCCTACACCTGCACCTTGATCGGCGGCATCTGGCATCGGAACCTCTGGAGCCTCAACAGAACCTGCACCTTGAAGGGAACTTGGCACGTCATCGGAATCAGAGGGACTAAACCCTAGGCTCTCAGGACTTAGGGAGGCATCGTCATACGCAATGGTGATAACCTGTTCGACAGCCGGGGGCCCAAGCGGCAACGTACGATCCGTCAAAGAGCTCACATCGGCCGCCAACTCAGCAACGGTCCACCGGCCATCTCTGCGCACAAGTGTGGTGCGATACCAAAGCAACTCAGTCAAGGGAATCAGCGTGCTGTCGACATAAGCCTGCCCAAAACTTAGGAGCGCATAGCGTCTGGAACCTATCCTTTGCCACCCTGAAGAGTCAAGACGGAGCAAAGGACCATGCAATGCTGCACTCACCGCCCGCACTGCTGAAGGTAGAGCGTTGAGGACACGCACACTGCCCGTTGCGCATAGAGATTGCCTCTTCAACCTGACCGGTTCGGACAGATCACCGTTGGTGAGGATGAAGTCACTGTCACCTGAAGTGGAGGGGATTACGTAAAATCCTGCCTTGTACAATTTGCCCAAAGAAAGGAGAGGGCAAGTAACTCCTCCGATCAAGAACTTTTCACGGAACCTGATGGACCCAACACGAACCTCTGCAATGCGTATGCCTTTGGACTGCAGCAAACGACCTGAAGCATCGACGAACCTCTGAGCCGACGATGGAGCAGGATCACCAACCTGGGCGTACGTCTCAGGGAGTGCACTGATATCCGCTCCTGAGTCCAGGATGATGTCTTCACCGTTGACACTAGCAGTCACTAGCAAGAGCACGGACACTGCCATGCACATACACAGACGGCTTGAGAGGCGTTACCTGATCGGCATCACAACTGACCTGATGCACGGGGCACTTGACGGAATCTGCCAGGGATCTGGACTGATCTGCAGGGCACTTGAAGGAATCTGCACGGGATCTGGAATGATCTGCATGGCACTTGAAGGGATCTGCAAGGGATTTGGAATGATCCGCATGGCACTCCAGCTGCTTGGCTTCACACAGCTTCAAGAGCACATCACTCGGGAGGCTCAAAAGCTCGTACTCACAGATCGTATCCCAAGCGTTGCAACGAACCTCAGAGGGGTCACTGATCGAAAAGTGCTCAACTCGTTCCATGCTGCACTGAATCATGCAAACGCGGGTGTCTCCATCAAGAAACTCCTCATCACACTCATCAAAGGCTGTAAGGTCTATCTCCGCAAGCCTAGCAACCCGACCCTTTGCACCAACCTGAGAGGCACTCTGAGACGGAGTCACAGTCGAGACGGTGGATCCCGACTCCTCGGACACAGCCTGCACCTTGCCTGCCTTCAAATCGGCCTTGTACTTCCTGCAATCTCGCTTCCAGTGGCCAGATTTGTTACAGTACAAGCACTTATCAGCTGCAGGCTTGTCACCTTGTTTGCCTTTGGACTGACCTTTGTCCTTGCCATGATGACCTTTGCCTTTGTTGTCCTTGCCATGCTTTCCTTTGCCCTTGCTGTCCTTGCCTTTCGTTTTGCCTTTGCCCTTCTTGCCTTTGCCGGCAACACGGTCGATTTCCATAGGAATGGCACCATCGCCAGTCCCTGCACCTGAACCCTGCGCAACATCACCAAAGTATGAAACGCCTTGCCACTTGAACTGCTGCCTTTCGATGCGCAAGACACAGTCCCTCACTGCAGCATACGAAGCATCCTCCGGAAGGGTGGCATGAACCTGATTTCTCGAAGCAGCGGGCAAACAACGCAAAAGGAGCGCCGTCTTGAGCTCCTCCTGAAGAAGCTGTTGCGAAGCGCTCTCGTACTCTGTAAAAACCCGTTCAAGCTCAAGAATCTGTGGAAACATTGCCTCGCCAGATTTAAAAGCACTGACCTGTGTCAGGGCCGTCAAGATGCCAAGGCTGCGTGACTTGCTCTGCGGTGCATACAAGGAAATGAGCTGCCGAAGGGCTTCATACCCACAGTTCCCAGAGACCGACTTGATCACAAGAAACCCACGTCCCTTTACCAACACCGAAAGCAAAGCGAAGAGCTGCCGCGAGCGCGAGACGATGTCTGTGGCTGCGGGAGAAATGTTCACCTGCCGGTGCAAGTTTGATTTCAGCTGATCGATCTCTTCTCCGAACTTGGGGTCCAAGACAGTCAAATACTGCTCAAGAGACCAAAGCCATGAAGGCCAAGCAGAATGCTCTTGTTCCCTCGTTGCAGCACGGAAAGGCTCTGGACGGGGCATGATGCGAGACATGTCTTTGCCTGTAAGTCCCGACACCGAAGAATCACTGGCACTGCGCTGCCCTATCACCTGACCCAAGAGAGCTGTTGTGTTGCCCAGTTGATGCAACAACGCGGTCACCTGATCGCTCGAGACAGGACTGCCCGCAGCGGGCCAAGGATTACTAGACACAGTCTCATGTATCGGCTGCAAAGGAGGGAGCACTGGACCCCCAAGGTCGTCATCGTCATCATCTGGCACAGCTTGTGCCGCAGGCAATGCAGCCATCACTGCAAGCTAAGGACGAGAGGCGCTACTTTCACCGAAGAAACAAACTCCAAGTTTGAAAAGCCTGGGCCCTTCCCAAGAACCCCGAAAGCTGCACGTGTATGTTGCTCGTTGTGCTACGTGTAGCAAGGGAGTAAGGTTTCGGCTCCCAGGAGACGCTTGTCGGCCAGACCCAAAGGAATGAACCGGTAAGCGCTCCGCTACCATGCTAATTTTCACTCAAACACAAGCGCCTGCGGAGTACACAAGTCAGCACATTGGGCTCAAATGAATTACGGAGCTCGCACAAATAAAACAAGTACTCAAGTAAATACCGGCCAGGAAAACAAATGGAAAATACGTGTACATGCAGTACGAGTACAAGGCGTGCAAAGTTTTGCAATCAGAGCGAAGTCCGGAAGCATGTAAAGAAGCAGGTACTTCTTATCTGGTGGAAGGTCATAAGTCGCTGGAAAGAGCTCGAGAGGCTCACTCTAGAGCTCGTGAAGGTGAGACTCATGACAAAGTGCTCTGCAGGTCAGAAGCAATGCTGCCGGACTCAGCAAAGGCTTGAACTTCGCAGGTCTTACCCGTACGGGTCACCAAGCCGGACCCACGCACGACAGCCTCGCCGACTAAAGCTGCTGAAAATGGTGCCTTCAAGCCTCGGGCCTCAAGGGGAAGCAAGACGAAAACCAAACACCGAATCGGTGGACATTCGAATCAAAATTGCGTAGCTTGCAACGAGCTGAAGCAAGTCAAAGCAAGATACCACCAGATGTAGCCAGCTAGAGTGGCAGAAAGGCTCCACGAAGCAAACTCTAGAATGGTGACACCTGCTTTGTTCAGGCCATGGTCCAGTTTTGGAGGCTGGTTCCCTCTGCTTATTCAGTTGAAACCCAGTTGAACGGGTGAAACCAACCCAGACCCAGGTTCCAACCCAGGTTCCGTTTCCACCATATCGCTCTGAAAGAAACAGTTTTGCGACTCTGTCCAACGCCTTCCAGTTGCAAGTTTCTCTGGGGAGGGTGTTCCAGCACCACTCTGTGATAGCTGCGAGACATGGTCAGAATTCGATACTTTGGAACACTGTCGATTCGCGGGCTTACGGCACGCAGCTTTGACGATCTTCGGGGCTCTAAAGTCTGCAAAACAGGCTTTAGAGGAACTTTAAGGGCGCGCCACTTGCCAGCAGCTGACGAGCTACGGCTACGTGCTGGCGGCTCACAAGCACTCGCTGGCAGCTTACGAGCACTTGCCAGCAGCTTACGAGCACTCGCCAGCAGCTTACGACGGCTTACGAGCACAGCCCGGGAAATTTCGCACTCACCTGTCGGACAAGTTGGCCGCAAAATTCTTCGCGTCCTGCACAGGTCCTTGTCAGCATCGTTCGGGAGCTTACGAGCTGCAGCCCAGCAACTCACGAGCTACTTGCTGGCAACTTACGAGCACGTGCCGGCAATCTGGTCGGGAAACCATCACAAAACAAAACCAAGCCCAGTGTTAACAATGCATTTGCAGAGCAAAAACTCTCACTGTTGGGATTCATGTGACGAACGTGATCTGCAGCGCTCCGTCGACATTGATGCTGAGAGGAGTGGCGCCGGCGGGGCAGTCCCGGTGCCCGGAAGAGCTGTGGAGCCCCCCAAAGCTCCCACTCCTGCCCCTGCCGCCCCCGAGCCCTCCGGCGGGTTGGGATGACGCCTGCGCAAGAGTGGCCCCAAGGTAGCTTCTTCTAACTTTGGCTGATGGTGAACAGGTTGGTCAAAAGAGACTCTGAGCCTGAACCTTGCAAGTCAAGAGGAATGCACGATCCAGCAATATGAGATTGATTTGGTCGCTCGCACGGTGTTCCCCGCGTCGAAAAGGGGTCTTGTGGGCTGCGAGCTTCAGGTTTGCTCTTTGATCCGGCCCTGGGGCCTCAGGATCGAAGGCTGAATTGGTTGCTGCCTTAGTGCCCTGCGTGGCTTGTGCGAACGCGTTTGGAGGATAGGTAGTGCAGTTACAGCCTGGCCAACCTTGGTCTGACCTGGCCATTCGGCTCTGCGGCGGCAATTTTGGGGCCCGGTCCTTAGGCCCCTTAGGCTGCCCCTCAGGGTTGACGAAACGCGTCTAGGACCCGTGTCGCTTCTGCTTCGCACGCTGCCGAGCGCCTGCTGTCCATGACGGGCAGCTGAGGCAGGCTGGATATCAAAATCGTGTCTCTGCCTCCCTGGTGCAGCGCACTTTCAGGCGGATCTGGGTTGAGACGAGCTTTCAGATGATTGTTCGACTCGGATTCCAGGGGCGTTACCATCTTGCAAGTCGACTTCGCGCTGTGGCCATCAGGCAAGCCGTCGCGGCCATGCAGCTCCATGCCGTTCGTTGGCCCGGACTGGCGCGCCGGCTCTACTTTCCTCTGGAGCTGCTTGCTAAGCTCCCGGTCACGCGGCTGGGCTCGCCGTTTTGATCAACTCTGCATCGCTGGGAGCCCAGCAACTCCGACTGACCCTCCGCATGACGCCGACCATGCGGTGTATTTACCTGGGAACAGTGTGAGAAAGTTCTGTTTGCATGGTTCACATGTTTCCGAGCGTTCCACTTGTTATTTTGAGTTTTGAAGGAGCACCGGCAAAATGCAAAACAGAGCTGGCGAGGCACGCAACGGCCAGCTGCGTACGCAGATGTGGCATCTGCTCGACGAAAAAACGGCATAACTGGGCCCCAGAAATGGCTCCCAAATCTGAGCTCTAATTTGGGGCCCCGAATTGCGTGAGCTTGTATGTCCAACGAAGAAAGCCAAAATCTGGGGCCCGTTTCGGTGCCCGGACTAGAGCTGTTCTTTGAAACCCGTTGCAGCTGGAAAACTGCACGGAAAAACAAAATTCCTTCCGCGTGCTGTTTAGATCAACGTCCAAGAAAGCCAGCATGCTGTGAAATGTGAGATACTTTTGGAAAATTTGCCAAACTTGCCATCGGCTGCCGTTTCAAAACAAGTGCTTCTGTTCTTGTTCGTACAAGATAATTCCCGCACAGGGGAAGCCCTTCGAGGCTTCCTACGATTCTGTAGGAAAAAAGAGCTCCTGCAAGTGGAGCTTCCAGACGCAAAAAGCACCGCGCACGTACAGCAAGCAATCGAAACAGTTGAAGCTACAAGCTGAGAACGTCTGCCAGTACATGCCGCAAAATCCTCGCATCAGCGTGCCAGCATCTAGCTGCAGCAAACTTATCAAGAGCATTACAAAAGGAGGGGGCGAGCCTCATGTGCATCAGAAGTGAGCCTGTTTAACGTCTTTGGTCTCGACCCAAACTGCAAACAGCAGACGTGCTTTTTTGCAGCCTTACTTCAAAGCAGCAAATCCAAATGCAGCGCAATATGTGCGATGGAACTGGGCCACACCTGCAGCCACTGTCCTGAACATCTTCTTCAGTTCCACTCTTCTCTGAAACATAATGCGCGAGCTGGAGAAATTATGGGAACCCACATGTACTCCACGGGGAACCGAACTGACACACTGCAAGAGCCAAGGGAGCCCGCCCAGACCTTTGCGCAATATATGCTGGGAAAACCACTTCAAATGCTGCAAAAAACCAGGCAACCCAACAGAGAACCCACCGTCGATACTGCTACAAACCATGCGAACCCACGCAAAAATGCTGCAAACACCAGGGAACCCACAGGGAACCCACCGTCCATGCTGCAAAGAACAGACACAGACCCACCCGAAGTGCTGCAAAAGACACGGGAACCCATATGTAGCCCACCTGACATGTTGCACAAAATAAGGGAACCCACAGAGAACCCACCGGCGACACTGCCACAAACCATGGGAACCCACTTAAACATGCTGCAAAACCAGACAACCCACAGGGAACCCACCGTCCATGCTGCAAAAACCATGGGAATCTACAAGAAAGCTAAGTGAAGAACATACACAGACCCACCCGAAATGCTGCAAAAAAACACGGGAACCCATCTGTAGCCCACCTGAAGTGTTGCAAAAAACAAGGGAACCCACAGGGAACCCACCCCATCTGCTGCAAAAACCAAGGGAACCCACTTACACACCCTTTGGGTAGTATAACACTATTAGAACGGTGGAAGGTCCCAGACATGCCGGAGTCAATCAAACTCAGTTGGCAGCTGAGTATTATACCACCGGCTTCGTCCTAAGGGTGAAATCATGTGCCCGCCACCGCTGGGCTCGTTCATGTCCCTCGTCTGTATCCTCACACCCTGCAGCACACAATCTCGAATCAAACTGCGGCGGATCAGTAGAGTCTGCCTGTCCTAGCTTTCTGCAAGCGGACAGTTTCGGATCCAGATTTCCCATGCTGCGTGTTGCTCTACTTAAAAGACTACGGCGCTCAGCTTCGACCTTGCAACAGGCTCAACTTTTCGGAAGCACTTGCTAATGAGCATGCTATGACGGGCTCACATTCGTGCTTTCGGAAAAACCCGCTAGATGTCAACAAAGAGTTTTGGCTGCCCACATGGACTACAGCAAGGCTCACTTACTCATCCTAAACCCTACACCGCAACGCAGCCATGTTTTGGTGGCCTTCAGAAAAAGAAGGCTGGGGTTAGGTCAAAGCAAGGCTTCGTCACTGACTTGACTCGCCGAAAAGTTTACAAGCTGCTCAGGCAGCAGTTTGGGCAATGCTCATACATTCACCGGCTCACATGGCAGACCTCATTGCCAGATGACAAACCCCACTCCGCAGCGTCATCGCTTTTAGTGCCGGGCTCAAAGTCCGTAAAACATTCGTGCCCTGCCTCAGACAAGGCTTGCACACTGCTGAACCGAAAAGTTTAGTAACTGACGCGACAGTTCGGGCCACAACAAGACTCACACTCAACCGAAGAGGAAGGAGTTACTAGCTGCTCACGCAACAGTTCGGGTCACAGCAAGGTCGCACCGCTGATCACTCTCAGCGCCGGGCTCAAAGCCGTAAACCGTAAACATTCATTCCCTTGGAAAAGAGAGAGCGAAGCTTGGTCACTGCTCACCCGACAGCGAAGAAGAAAGAACGTGCTGCAG